ATGTTGACCAGGATGGTCTCGATCTCTTGACCTCATGATCCACCCGCCTCGGCCTCCCAAAGTGCTGGGATTACAGGCGTGAGCCACCGCGCCCGGCCTATAGTCTGTGTTTTAAGTTGTCCTAATTGTCCCTCAGATGTCACTTGTAGTGACCTTAACAACCTCTTGATCCCCAAAGATCAAGAAGTCTCATCAGCTTTGGGACCAGCTGACTTACCTTTCAGTAAAGGAGATCTCGGACCACCTGATGGGGTGCAAGTAAAAGAGCCCCTTCCTCTCCCCCATTCCCCCTCACCATTCAAAGGAGACAGCTCCGTATGCTCGGGTTTTATTGCCGAATCATGATTGAGAAAAAGGATTTGGAGTTGAAAGGGCCTTAAGCTGCTCGCCCAGGAGTGTTTTGTTTTTGTTCAGTGGCAAAGCCACACAGCAGTTTTCAGATCCCATTGATGTGCCACATTGCGCTTCAGCACACTCCCGGTTGGGACAGTGGCCTGCGTGTGGGTGCTGGTGGCATCACTGAGCCTTGGGTCAGGTTGCCAAATCCTACTGTTGTTCCAGGGTAGAAAAAGCCGTGTATGGTTTTAGTTGTAGTTCTAGCGCCTAAAGTGAAGTCGTGGCCAGACCGGCAGCACAGGAGTGTTATTTGCCGCCTTCCCATGCCTGGGCTTCCTGGGGAGGGCTCTGCTGTAAATGCACATTTACATGCACCATTGTTGGGGGCCAGCAAAAATGAAACCCTTCTTAACTGCCTTGGATGGAGGTAAAGTTCTTTCTTTTTTCTTTTTAGTGTGAAGAGAATGTAAATATCCTTATGTGGGCTATTCCATTATTTGTAAACACTAAACATTTCTTTCATTTCCTCTCTCTCCAGAGCATTTGTTAACCTGAAGCGGGAAGGCCTTGAGGTTATGCTAGCAGAATCATGCCCATTTGGTAAAATGACAGAAGGCAGTTACAGAAAGGCTATTTAGCAGAAAGTACAGTATAACTGAAAATGTGGTTGTAGAGTGTTTAGACCTATTTTTGTGGCTTACTGTTAGGGTGACGGGCTTAGCCCTGGTGCATGTGGTTCTTGCTAGCTATGTGAATTTTACGGTGAGGTCAAAGGCTGACAGAATCTTGATGTCTGATTTTACCAGGCATGTTGAAAACCCCAGGCCTCATCTTGGTTCTTGAGAGCTTACTCTTCCTGCCCAGGAGAAATGCTAGGACCTGGGTAGAAAATGCTGGAATAACATTGCTTAATTCTCCCAAGAAATTTTCTAAACTGAAAGAGGAAGTGATGTAATACTTCTCAACACTTGTACTAATCAATTCTTTTTACCCAAAGATGATGAATTTCATCCTGTTTTAATGTCAGGATTTCCACTTTATGACTTTCTTCTTGGTCCTCCTGTTTAGCATTTTGAATTACATGAGGGTGTTTGAATATTTACATTTCAAAAGCAGGGGCTGCAAAGAATTCAGGTGGTTCTAATTAGAGATAGGCAGTACCCCACAGAGCTCTTGGTTTAATTTTTCTCTTGTGAGGTGTTAAGTGTCTAACCATAAAGTAGCACCAGACGTGGGCGGCCAGACCGACCACAATGCCCTGTGCAGGTTTGGAGAGCGGCTGGTCTGTGGATCTGCCCTGGGTAGAGAGAGGCAACAGCGTCCTTTTGAGACATGAGGATTGCTTTTGCTTTCCTAGGAATTTGTGAACATTCTCTTACATCTTCTTTCGGTAGTTCCTTTCCTCCTCCCAGATCCCTACTTTTTAAGTAGTGCCCAAGCCCTGTCTAAAGAGATCAGCCACTTCCACGCTCAGAAGAAACACCACCACGCCCATGGGGAGACGGGGCAGCCCTGTACTCGTTTAGGTCACCAAGTACGAGAAATGGCTCCCTGTCATTGGACAATGCTAACAGGGAGGTTTGGGGACTGGAGCCTGTCTGTTTTAGGACGCCAGGTGTGTAACCCGTTTCTCAAGAAATGAGTCTTGGAGTTACGGCCACAGAGCTCTCAGCCTATCGAAGCCCTGCCGGAGTCCCAAGAACCACCTTAAAGGATGCCGGGTGTTGTACTGTGGGGAGGAAGACTCCAGAGCCGGCCGCTCTCAGCCTGGCAGCTTTCTAATGAGCCCTTGCCCGGGGTGTTGAGGATGCACCTGGGAGAATCCTAGGCCCAAGGGCTCTGTGGATGTGCCCCCCTCCTCCATCTGAACTACCCGCCTACCGCTGATGCAAAAACCAGCCCTCGGTGTGTGTGTCACCCCACACCTGCACTCACTGAGGTGGGAAAGCACTTTCTGCGTCCTGGGTGTAAGCAGAACAAGTGGAAAGTGCCAGAAGAACTGTAGTGAGAAACAGAAGCCCTTGACCCCCGCCTCCCTGGTTTCTCCCTGACTGTAGGGTTCCAGCCCCACTTTCCCCTTTCCTAAAGCACAGAAATGGTGCTGATGGCCAACTCCCCCACTTCAGTATTTCTGAGATACTAAAGGAATTTAAATCTTTTGCATGATCATCTGTGTTCCTTGATCACCAAGGCCCGGAAGCTGAGTAGCTCCTTGTCAGGCAGACTATAGTTTTGGAAACAAGGGTCCTGCTTCTCACACACCGCAGAGCTCCTTGCAATGTCACATGGCACCCAATCCTCTCTCATTTTCCCTTTCGTCAGCCGTGAGAGCCGGTTTTATTGAGCAGAACCCAGCAGCAAGTGCCTGCTCTCCCCACCGTCCTTCCAGGCACAGGAGCTGCTGCAGGCTGAGCCGTCTCCAGCCTCTGACCCCTGCCCGCCCTCCCTGCTGTCTGGTGCAGCCTTTATTCACATTGAAGGAAAATTGTCTTTTGTGCTCCCAGTCCCCTGCAGAGCAAAAAGACTTGTCGGATTCGGGAGAGGAGCCTCGGGGGGAGGCTGAGGCCCCCCACCATGGCACGGGTCACCCCGAGTCAGCTGGCGAGCATGCCCTAGAACCTCCTGCCCCTGCTGGTGCCTCAGCCAGCACTCCTCCGCCTCCCGCTCCTGAAGCCCAGCTTCCTCCTTTTCCGCGAGAACTGGCAGGGGTAAGTCCACACCTACCTGGCACTCCTATTGCCCAAGGAGACGCCAACCCAGACCGGCCCCCTTCCCCTTGGGTCCCTCAGATCCTGGCCCTAGCTCATTGTACTAGGCTGATGGTATCTTAAAAGATGACAAGGAGGCTGGTCGTAGCGGCTTACGCTTGTAATCCCAGTGCTTTGGGAGGCCGAGACGCGTGGATCACCTGAGGTCAGGAGTTTGAGACCAACCTGGCCAACATGGTGAAAACCCCGTCTCTACTAAAAACACAAAAATTAGCTGGGCGTGGTGGCGCATGCCTGTAATCCCAGCTACTCGGGAGGCTGAGGCAGGAGAATCACCTGAACCCAGGAGGCGGAGGTTGTGGTGAGCTGAGATCATGCCACTGTACTCCAGCCTTGGTGACAGAGTGAGGCTCCATCTCAAAAAAAAAATGAGAAGGATTTCTTCCAACTCTCTTTAATGTGTGCTCCTGAAAAGTCAGGGAAGATCAAGTCCCTTTTTAGCCTTTTCTAAATTGGGGGAATGTATACCCACAGCAAGAGGTGAATCCTGTTTCCCAAAAAAGACATGAGGGGTCAGGAGGAATTCAGTCATGTGAAGCAGAACCTTCCAAACCTGATCTGACCCCTTCACCCTCCTTCCATTTTTCTTTCTTGTTTCCCTGAATGCGGGCATTGAAGTTTAGCATCTTAGAAACACAAGAAGCTAAGGCTTCTTTTGATATCTAGGAAGAGGCGCTCTCCAGCACAGATTGCTCTGCAAGACTGATTGTGTTTGGACTGTGGTTAAGGCGGTGAACTGATTGTCTTCAATCAAAGCAGGAAGAAGAAAAGACTCTTCCTTTGAACCCAGAAGGAATCCCCTGAGCCCTTTATCTTTGTATTAAGAAGCCTTTTGAAGATTATAGGTGGAGAAGACTGTGAACTCTCAAGAACAAGAAATGTCTTGGGTTTTTGAAGTTTGATAAATTGGGAAAGGTAAACATTATCCTACATTCAGGATTGAAAACTCCATCCTCTAGGTAACTCATGACAGAAGACCCCTATTCTCAGGACAGGGAAAAAGGACTCTTAACAAGAAAAGAAGGGACCCAGCTCTACCTGCCTGAGCACCAGGCAGCCTTCCAGCCTGGCACAGTCCCAAACCTTACCCCAGACCTCAGTGATTCCTTCTAGAACACACCAGTCTCCCCGTTTTTAAGGAAACCATTAACATTCAGCTACAGCCACCAAACCCCAGGACACTCAAGGAACACTGTTCGGCCACGGGTGGGTTGGAGTCTTGTGTTAACATTTTGGAAGAGTCAGTGTGTGATGGAAAAAGAAGCAACAGTCTTTACCGTTTGCCAGAGGCTATGGAGGGAATCGGCAGTAGTGGCCTTTGTGGCGCAGAAGTAGGTTTGGGGTGGCGAGACATGGGATCCATGGAAAGGAGTCCAGCCAGGAGGCACTTGTCCCACAGTGCACTGGGAGCACAGCCTCCCACGAACGCACGTGACAGCTGCCATCACGAGAATTAGGAGGTGGCTGCGCCCTTCTTTTGTTGGCAGAGCAGCTGCTGGAAACTTCTCCTGAGTCAGGTATGGTGAGTTTCTGCGCCTCTGGTCTTTGAGAGCACGGGAAATGCTACTCTAAGGTTTCCATCTTCAGCTCTCTGGGAACAGATAGTTTTTAGGGTCCACCCCAGGGGTGCCTGGGTTTGAAAAATGTAGCCCACATAGGACTCTCCAGCTGCAGAGGCAACAGGTTCTAGAATGAGAGTAGCAAACAGACAAGCGGATCACAGAACCGTTGTGGCAGCAGGTGCTCTTCCAGAGCACACAGGCTGTTCTGTGCCCTGCGTACTTCTCACAGAGCGTGTGCTGGAGTGTCTGGAGGGGCCTCACCTCGCCCAGGTGTTCATCTCTGGGGCCTGGCTGGCCAAGGTAGATCTCAGCATCCTGATTCTTAGGGACTTTGGGTCTGAGGCTCCGATCCTGAGAATTCGAGCAGTCCCCCACACTGGCAGGTGAAAGGTGAAGCTGTATGGCAGAGAGCCTTGGGATGAGCTCGTAGTCACCGTGGGAGAGCCAGGATTGGGGGCTGCGGGGATCTGTGTAAATGTTCCGATATAGCACTGGTGGCCACGCCTATTACATGCTCTTTGTAGTTTTAGCATTCGCAACTTTCAGACGCCCACTCTCAGAAGCCACTAGTGACAGCTCTGAGCCGTCCAGGGCTCCTTCCCCCAGGCTGTCTGCAGAGAATACCCTGGCTGGTTGCTGAGGGCTCCCATTAATTGGCTTTCTCTACTAATCGGGCCTTCTCAGAGCCCAGAGCAAAATAAACTTTATTTTAGGTTAGTTAGGCCATAGATCAAGTCAGATGGAACCCAACCCCAGCTGCTGCTTGGCCTGAGGTTTTCTTTGATGAACTTAGACTGTTTTCGTTTGCATCAGAAGAAATTTGGGTCTCACTGTGTATCACACTGGAGTTCAGGAAACCGCCCCCTTGTTACCCGGCAGGTCTCATCCGTCACGTCTAGTTGGCTTTATTCCGCAGTCCCTTGTGGGGAATGTAAAGCTGAGCGTTCTTGGTGATAAATAGTGGCTCGCTGAACTGTTGCTTATAAAGGGCCCTTATCATCTTTCAGTCTCGTCAGAACCCTGGCCATGGAAGACTCAGTACCAGGAAAAAGTCTCTATATATCAGACTCCCTGGCTCTCAGAAGACAGTCTGAAGAAGACGAAACCACATCCCAGTTAAGTTCTCTGTTTGATCCAGAGAAAGCAGGCAGCTCTGGGCATTCACTCTGAGCCTGCTGGAATTGTACTGGACTGAAGCTCCCTGCCAAGGCCCTGCTGAGCCTCAGACATGTTTATTAGACCCACCAGGGAGCTTAAGAAGGTTCTGGAATGAGTCCCTCTGGCCAGACAGCTTCCCCCAACCTTCCAGCCCCTGCACAGGATTTGGCCTTCAGCACCCCTCAGCATTCAGACCTGTGGAAGCCGCCTCTCACTTGGTTTTCTCAGGGCCCGCCCTTTTGACAAGAATTTCTGAGCTGGTTGTGTCAGTCAGAGAATAAAAAGCATTGAACTGGCCCACAATTTCTTTTGCATCCCAGGCATCCAGCCATGACCAGCCAGATTTTCTAACTTGTCAGACTCACTGAGACCCTGGTAGACCACATGGTTGCCATGGTTTTCTAGAGGGACTTTATCTGAGGTGGCCTTGCTTTCTGGTCTTTCTCAGGGGACCGGGTAGACAGTGCCATTCCTTCCTGTTTCCTCCTTGTTCATCTTTGTATCCATCGGGTCGGCTTCAGAAAGCGCTGTCCCCTTTCTTGGACTACCTTGGCACCCGTGTCCTCCTTGAGGCCACACCAGGCAGTCTCACAAGAGCCGCGTGTTTTGGACAGGGCAATTCTTAATAAATGTGATAACCATGATTTTCACTGTTTAATTCCTTATGCAAAGAACAAATGCTTCCTACCCCTGCATTCCCATTCCAGATGGGATGTGCCCCCTTGTCTTGTACTTAGCAACAGGGACTCACATGCCTCACAGAATTGAGCTACTTCCCGCAAGGTCCCTGTGGCTCCTGATGGGAGCTTGCTGCGCGGTCAGCAGCCACCCTGCCGGCAGAGGCGCGTGATCAGCACTCTGGCCAGCCTGCAGCCAGAGTCGGTGGAGGGCGTCTTCATCTTTTCTCATTATTATTAATCTGGGATGTTGTCATCACGGTGTTGAAATGGGTGCTGACCCAGCATTCCCGGGTGTCGTCCTGAAGTCCTGCCCCTCGCAGGCAGTGGATCTAGTTTGGGAAATGCGGAGGAGGAGGAGGAGTGGGGGGAAATGAGGCTCTCGTGTCCTGCTTCTGTCCTCGCTCCTCCCCAGTAAGCTCGAGTGCTTGGAGCTTGCTCTTTTGTTTGGTTTTTGTTTTTTTGAGTCGGAGTCTCACTCTTGCCCAGGCTGGAGTACAGTGGCGCAGTCTTGGCTCACTGCAACCTCCGCCTCCTGGGTTCAAGCGATTCTTCTGCCTCAGCCTCCTGAGTAGCTGAGATTTCAGGCATGCATGCGCCACCACGCCTGGCTAATTTTTGTATTTTTAGCAGAGACGGGGTTTTGCTATGTTGTCCAAGCTGATCTTGAACCCCTGATCTCAGGTGATTTACCTGCCTAAGCCTCCCAAAGTGCTGGGATTACAGGCGTGAGCCACCGCGCCCGGCCTGGAGCTTGCTCTTAAAATACTCCTGAGTTCTGGCTGCAGACCTCTGGGGGCTGACCCCGAGTGTGTCCCAGACATTGTTCAGGACCAACCCCTGAGGACCCCTGACTTGTTTGGGATGAGGGGTGGCCCCAGACTGCCTTGACACCAAACAGGTCCAGACTCCTGGACTGCCGAGTCTGGGAAATGGAAAATGTTTGTGGCGTTTTAATGTTTGTGAAGCTGACGTTGGCCATGTGCGGGGCTGGGTGGCTTAGAGGGGCTTCCTGCACCCCAAACCTTTGTTTGCCTTGGGGAAGACAGCATGAGCTAGCTGGACAGCAAGCTCCAACGTCTCCTGAGAGGAGAGGCCCTCCATCCCAGCAAGGTACAGTGTGGGAGGCCTGGACAAGGGCAAAGTGCAGGCGGTGCCTCAGGTGGGCAGCGGGTTAGCTTGCTTTCCTCCTCTGGCTCTTAGTGGAGAGTTGCTGGCAAGAGCTTCTCCCGGGGTTGGAATCTTCCTGTGTTGTCCTTCCCAGGCCTTGGCTTCCCAGCCTTTCCAGAACCAAGAGAAGAGATTTAGGGCACGGATTTGAGGGTCTCCTGAGGTCAGGGGTCAGGCAGCATCTGAATCTTGCCTGCCTAGGCACCTGTTCTCTGGGTCACTGAAGGGGACATCATGGGGGACACAGACTCCACCCATGCAGCAAGTCCTCAGCAAGTGCCTTCTGTGCAGGGTGTCCTGGGTGTCGGGTGGATGAACTGTGTTGTAGGAGACACCCTTTAGATCGTTTCCCTCTGTGATAGAACAAAACAGGGTAGCTCCAGAGAGGGCTCATGAGGGGCTGTGCGGATAGGGAGTAAGTGCATGCTTACCCTAGAGGTGGCGCTCACAGCATCTCAGACACGCAAGGACCTGGAGGGAGGGTGCTCACGCCATGGAGGAGCAGCACTCAGTGAGGCAGAAGCAGTCAACATGTTCAGATAACAGGAGGCCACATGGCCAGAGTCTGGCGGCCGAGGGGACTCCATGCTTGAGGAGGTCACTAAGGCAGGATGGAAGGGTGCGTTCTCTGGGGGCTAGAGCTAACGGGACTCGCTGACAGGTTGGAGGTGATGGGTGAAGGGGAGGATGAATCCAGAATACCTGGGAGCACCACAATGTTCCCAGGGCTGCTCCGGAGCCTCGAGCCTCACTCTTGACCTGGACATGCTGCTCTGGGGAGAGCATCCGTAGCATCCACGATCCCCGAGAGGCATGGTGTAGTGTGAAAAGAGCCCCCAAATATGCAAAGCAACCACGGAGAAAACTGAAGGGAGAAAGTCGCGTCAGCCCTAAGAGTTGGAGACTGCAGTACCCCACTTTGAGTAATGGATAGAACATCTAGACAAGACCAGTGAGGAAACAGGACTTGAACAGCACTACCAGCCAACCAGACCTAACAGACATGTAGGACACCCCACCCATACAGCGGGGTGCACGTCGTTCTCAAGTGCACATGGAAAGTGCTACATGGGAGACCGTTTGTTAGGTCACAGAACCCACCTCCAATGCAAAAGGATTGAAATACAGAGTAAGTGCTCCAACCACAAGGAGATAAAATTGTAAATCAAAAACGGAAACTAGGAAATTGACACGTGGAAATTAACCTAGATAACCAGTGAATCAAAGAGTTAGGCTTGGAGGCGGCGGGGGAAACATCCCATGCAGGGGTGAGGAGACACAAGGGAGCTCGGGGACCAGCGCCCCGCCATAAGGCTGGACTCAGGTCTTCTCCAGCTTCTCCATGGCCTTCAGGGGGCCTAGGATGCAGTGTCTTTTTGTCGAACGAATGCCAAGTGGGCTCCTATTGTGAGGACCAGTGACACGACTCCCAGGATCAGAATAAGCCACAGAGGAGGAGTCTAAGGGGCCTAGAGGTCATCTCACCAAGGGGTTTGTTCTCACCTGAGTAAAGGAGGGTGTCACTGGATGAGAGAGCAGGTCGTCTACAGAGGCCAAGGAGAGTGTGGCCATCTCCTGGTCCCAGAAGTCATTCAGGAAGGGACATATCACCCAGGACCAGGGAGGCCACCGTGTAAAGATTTTGGTACAGTTGAAATGCTCATTGGATTAAAAGGGGAGAGAAAAGCCTACAGCCACAGGATAGGACTTGGGTCTGGGGATGACCTGGGCCTGCTGTTAGTAACGGGTAGGAGGACCGGTGAGGCTGGGGAAGGCAGAGGTGAGGCGAGCAGTTCTGCGTCCGAGGAGACTGGGCTGTGCAGAGGCGGCTGACCTCAGACGGGAACCTGCACAGAGCATTTGGAAGCCAAAACCAGCCTGCAGGGCTCTTGGAGGGCATGAGTTATCCCAAGGGAAAGGAGGCTGTGCCAGGTGTCGTTTCTCGGAGCTGCCTGTGCTAGGAGGCTGATGTAAGGGCCGGTTGAGGGCAGTAGCTGGCCTGGGCATGGGACGCCCAGGCTGGGCTGCATGAACGAAGGCTTTGGCAACCCAGGTGGGCAGATGCTGGTTCTCTGTGTTTCTCTCACCTTTGCTTGCTGAGTATGAGGATGAGCGATAGCTGGAGCCTATACCCACCCCACTGATGTTACCCAAGAGCAGGGATGACAAGCTGGTGACAGCTCAGTACTGTCAGATGCAACCCCAGGCTCTGGCGTTTCTAGAAAGGTCACCCCCAGTCCAGATCCCTGGCCTCCTAGCTGCACCCAGGAGTCACCACACCCCTGACTCCTCATTCAAGCCTGCCCTGAGCGCTAAAGCGAGTTTGGCTTCATCAGGTGTGAGTCTTGAGCATTGTAATCATCTGCTCCCAGTGCACAGGGCACCAGGCTGAACATCTTACCTGCCCTGCCTGTCACCTCATGCCCCTGCGAGGGAGGCACTAGCATCCCCGTTTTCCAGGTGAGAAGGCTGAAGCCTGGACAAGGTACGGTTTCACCCCTAGAAAATGGCAGAGCTGGAATAAGCTGACAGTTCTTCCAGCCTTCAAGAGGCGGCAGGAGCTAAGCGACCTCTGCACCCCTCGTGCCTTTGTCCTGACTGCTGCTGTTGCTGACTCTAGGGCCAGCCTGCTTGATGGCATTTCGTTTTGGGCTCCGGTATTTTCACAGCTGCCCCAGTGACTAATAGAACTCAGTGTTGTGTTACAAGGATTTTGTGTTTCCCACACATTTTGATGATGTCATCTCGTGGGGATAGTGATAATCAGCCCTCGCTCACACAGTCCCCTGGGACCATTTCCAAAGCCTTCTTGGAAGACAGGCCTCAAGCAAGGCGCCCAGGCTTGCTTTTCTGACGCAAACCCATGTTGTCAGCTCACGCAGGAGGATAGAGTCCAGGTTAGGATTTTTCTTACCGTCGTGAGTGAGCTGTGTGACTTCAAGTAAATGTCCTACCTTCTCTGGGCTCTCACTGCCACACATTCCAGCCCCGGGCCTATAAGCTAAGATGGTGTTTACATTTTTTAAAGGATTATAAAAGCAAAAACAAAGAAGAATGTATGACAAAGACCAAATGTGGCCCACAAAGCCAGCAGTACCAACCATCTGGCCCTTTATGGGAAAATGCGCCGCCCCAACTTTAGAAGGGTCTCCCTCGGCTCCTGTGCTCTTCGGTCTTATTTATTGCAGTTTGCTTTCCCAGACCTCTCTGCAGTCTGCAAAGCAGTTTCACATGCATCATCTCCCGTAAGCTCCAGCAGCTCGTCAAGGCAGGCGGGCCTCATTTGGCTAAACTTGACCTCTAAGGAGCAGTTTTGAAAATAAGAAAAGGCTTTTCTGCTTGCTCTTGCGGGGAGTATGCCAGGAGGAGTGGCACTCACTCGTCACTGTGCCTCTGGTAGCCAAATTCTGAGATGGGACATAAATGAGGGGTTGTGTTGGGGGAGAGGGTCACCACTACTCATTTTAAATTTGGGTTTTGTTTGTTTGAGATGAGATGTGTCCTTCAGGCTGGAGTGCAGTGGCACGATCATACATAGCTCATTGCAGTCTCAGACTCCCGGGCTCAAGTGATCTTCCTGCTTCCGCCTCCTAGGGAGCTGCGGCTGCAAACATTCACTCCCATACCCAGCTGATTTTTGTGTGATTGGGTTTTTTGTAAATACAGGGTCTCGCCATGTTTCCCAGGCTGGTCTCAAACTCCTGGGCTCAAGAAATCCTTCTGCCTCAGCCTCACTGCACCAAGCCCATTTTAAGTGGTGTGGTTTTTTGTTTTGTTTTGTTTTGTTTTTGTTTTTGTTTTATTTTTAGACAGAGGTTTCACTCAGGCTGGAGTGCAGTGGCATGATCTCAGCTCACTGCAATCTCTGTCTCCTGGGCTCACGCAATTCTTGTGCCTCAGCCTGCAGCTGGGACTACAGGCGTGCACCACCACGCCCAGCTACTTTTTTTTTGTCTTTTTAGTAGAGACAGGGTTTCACCATGTTGGTCAGGTTGGTCACGAACCCACTTTAAGTCTTGGTTGCTAGTTGTTCATACTCTAAAACTGAAGGTTGTGGAATAGGGAATTCTTCAGGCCCCTCCCCCCAGCCTGTGACTTGGCGTTGTCTTTGATGGTTCTGTTCTAAACGCTTCACAAGCGGGCTTTGGTCCAAAACATCCAAGCTCTCGCTTGCTCTGGGAATAACAGCCCACCTTGAGACAGGGTTGTGCTCAGTAGAATGTTCCAGGGCAAGGAAGGGAAACCACTCTATCCAGTGTGACGAGACCGTTTTACACAGTTCCGCTGCCCTCAAGGGTGGAGAGGGTCGCTTTTCAGCTCTTGGCAGGATTAACAGGGTTTGGAGGAGGTTCAGCTCTGTTTGAGTTTGGGGGTGGCGGGCTAGTTAGCGTAACCTGTGGAGAAACAAGAAACTGATCCGGGTGCTGCGGGTGCTTTCCCAGCCGCTGAGAGGATTCGTTGGCATGCGTTTGTGAAGCCGGGCGCAGAGGTTCATTGGGGGATTTTTGAGTTTCAGGCTGAAATCCTGGCTCAGACTTAGGTGCTGGGCTCTGGGAGTTAGCTGCCCGCGGTGCATGTTGGGATATTTTTTACGGAGCCACGAGTTGCTCGGTTGCCGTGAGCCTAATGCCCTCTGACCCCGGCTGTGTGCTCCTTGTTTCAGAGGTCAGCTGGTGGCTCCAGTCCTGAAGGCGGAGAAGGTAAGGAGCTCTCTAACACCTTTGACCATCTTCGGTTGTTGTAAAAACGGAAGCAACCTGATTTTTCTCCTCCTCTTCTCATCATTTTCCGTAGATTCTGATCGAGAAGATGGAAATTACTGCCCTCCTGTCAAGCGAGAAAGAACGTCCTCTTTAACCCAGTTCCCGCCCTCACAGTCAGGTAAAATATGCAAACTTACCAAATGGTGAAGCGATTATGCTTACAAAGCCACCGTTTCCCTCAGCACCACGTGTCCTCCGCTGTGCCCTTCCTGCCTGACTCCAGTTAGAGTCGATCTGAGGCTTGGGCTCGGTCAGTGAGGTGAGAGCTTGCCAGAGTGCAGCACCAGGTGTCGCTGTCTAGAATCAGCAACACTGATGGCATGGCGAGAAGAGTGGCCTGAGGAAGACTGAAGAGATCATCCCTCTGAAATGAAGGGAAGGGGTTGACTGCTGAGGGCCCTGTTGGGGCCTCTGTTAATGACATCTCTTTCCAAGGCTGGGCACAGACTGGGGGTGTAGGGGTGGGGTATTCTCCTGACCCTTCAGCTGTGTGCCCAGCACGCAGTCCTGGGGCAGTCCAGTGCAGTCGCCCAGACATGCACATGCATGGTGCACACACACACAGTAACCAGTAAGCCAGGAGGCCCCAGCAGAGGCCCGTGTGCAATGCTGTGAACTCCCAGAAGACAGGAGCTTGCGGAGGCCTGGAAGGGTGGGCCCGGGTCAGACTGTGGAGCAGGGCAGGCTAAAGGGCTTGGAGGCCCTGGACATGAGGTCTGGTCCGAGCACAGGCATGGAGGTCGGAGTGTGGACTCACACAGGCTGGTACAGGAGAGAGGTTCAGGGGGCAGACAACGCCATCACTACTACTTAGCGGGACACTCAGAGCCCGGCCTCCTGCCATGGGGACACCCCTGAAGATCTGAGGGTAAATGCCACCACAGGCATTGTCCGGTGACCTCTGTCTTAGCTGTCTGTAGCACCAACATGGAGAGACATGAGGGTTTGGAGTTCTCCGGTTACCCAACTGAAATCCATTCCATGTAAATCATTTTACAGTCATGAACCTTCGGGATGTCAAGTTGTGTCTGCTTACTGAAGTCACGCATGTGTTAACAGAAATGCATAGCCTAGGAAGCCGGCGTTCTTCCGAAGTCACCCCTCCACACACTCGCTTTCATACCCCTTTCCGCTAGTGTTGATTTTGGACGTGGCCACGTCCTTTTGCACGGCTGCGTTAGGTTCTCCTGTGCTGTTACACTGTCATCTGCTGACCGGATGTTGCGGAACTGTTGGATGGCCTGCAGTCCAGGCTGCAGTTGACATCCTTTATTTAAGGATCTCTGCGCCCTTGGACTAGTGTTCTGTGGAATGAGGGAGCTTCACCTGCTTGTTGATTTTATTCCTTCCCCATCACTGCCCACTGCTGAACCATGCTTGCTGAACCATGCAAAAACCAGTGTGGAGAAGAGGTGTTGGGCTGTGAATGTAGGCTAGAGAGGCGAGGGGCTGCCAATCATTCTTCTCCCCTGGCCCGCCTAAATCACCTCCCTTCCAGCACGGCGGCCCCCAGGAGACACTCAGCTCTTGATCTTCAGGGTAACTGGAGGTGTGAGGGCACCAATCATTTGGACAGTGATGTCTTTGGTTCCACTCTGCATAGAGTGAGTTCTTCACCTCCGAATTCCACTTCATTTGTGGAAACCTGTTGGCCAGCCCACACCCTGGGAAGCAGTTGCCCTAGTGAAGTAAGATCTTAGGTGAGGGAGGGGAACCCCATGGGCAAGCCTCGACAGGTGAGAAGGAGTCAGGGCTCCCACGTGGCCTGGAGCATCCGGCACCTCCCTGCCTTGCCTTGCCCTACCTGCCGCCCCTGCAGCAGTGCAGGGACAAGGGGGTATCCCCAGTAGACCATAGTTGACTTGTAGTCATCAGACAGATGAAGACTGTTGGGCTGGAGACCCTCATAGTGCCGCAGAGAGTCTTGGGGTTTGCTTTTCTGGGGGAAAGACTGAATGCCCTGTTCACTTGCTGTCCCGTCTCCTCCCCTGGGACATGGGAATCCACCCCTCAGGTGGACGAGGTGATCTCTGTGGATCTACCCCACCCACTCATGCTATTTTTCCTCCTGTTCCTTCCCCCGCCTGCACCTCCTTGGGGACAGTATCAAAAAACAATGTTATTATGCCATCAAGCTTCTGCGAGCCATCTGCAGGCAATTCCGACTCAGAGCCAGGTGGGCCCCGCCCCTCTGCCTTCCCGTCGAGCCTGGGGGTTCTCCTGGGAGGAAAAGCAATTGGTGTTGGAAAATCAGATTTCACTGGGCATTTAAAGTCAGTTCTTTTTCAGCTGTTAAATTTTTCCCCCAGTTCTTCAGCTCGTAGTTTGGGGATCTCGCATGAGATGAGGCTTCAGAACCCCTTAAGTTTCTGTTTCTGCAAGCAGGGCCTGCATGCATGGAGCCTCAGTTCCTTTAAAAACAACCTGTATGGTAATGTGTTACTCATTTTTCAAAAATTTTTACAAGTAATGCATTCATGATGGGAGGGGGTGTTATTTGTTTTGTTTTTTTTTGATGGAGTTTCACTCTTTTTGCCCAGACTGGAGTGCAATGGTGTGATTCAGTTCACTGCAACCTCTGCCTCCTAGGTTCAAGGGATTCTCCTGCCTAAGCCTCCCCAGTAGCTGGGATTACAGTCGGACACCACAACACCAGGGTAATTTTGTATTTTTTAGTAGAGGTGGGGGTTTCACTTGTTGGCCAGGCTGGTCTTGAACTCCTGACCTCAGGTGATCTGCCTACCCCTGCCTCCCAAAGTGCTGGGATTACAGGCGTGAGCCACCACACCTGGCCCATAATTTTTTTTTTTTTAACGTAAATCAGAAATACAGCAAGTAAAAAGAATCCCTGCCCCTTCCCCACTCACCCTGCCATCCCAAAGGTAACACCGATGAAGTTACTGATTTTCCAGACCCCTTTTCAGTGTATTAAATTCTCACATTAATTAGTATTGCTTAGATCTAGCCAGATAAATATGTTTAATCACAGCTTTAAAACTTTAAGGAAAGCTGCTCCCCCTTCCTGAAGAATATGGAGCCTGCCTTTTTGGCCTTTACTGGAGAACCAACTCCAAGGTTTCCTGGAAGTTTCTCCCACGTGGCTGAAATTCCTCATAAAAGATTTAACAAGCGAGTTTAACAACCTGAATTCTGTAACCCAGCCTACCTTATATAAATTCATTGCTGACTTCAAAAGCTTTGTGAGATAAGTTAGCTGCTGGCGTGATGTTTGTGTCAAGGGAAGAGGCGGGCTTTTATAACTCTCAGCATTGAGTTGATGGCCCCGTTTCAAACAGTCATTTTGACTCTTAACAAACTGTTTTGAGCCACCGCCTGGTCTCACCCTGCAGAGGGGCTTGCTGTTTCAGGGTCCTCAGGAAGGGCATGATCTTGGTTATTCCTGAGGTGTCGTCAGCCGGTGGTGGTCTGGGTGGGGGGGCGGAGCCTACCGCCATGAGGCAGGTTCTGCTTAGATGATGAGTTACTAAAGCCGTGTGTCTGGACCCATTTGTGCTGTTTAGCTCTATTCAAATCTCATGATCACTTCTGTGGTTTTTGAGCGATGGCCTCCCTCCTGTCTCTCTGCCCGCAGACTCTTCCCCTCCAGCCTCAGGAGCTGGGCAGCTGTTTCACAGGCCCCAACATGGCCATGGTTTAAAGCCCCAGTGCCCTTATGCATGGGAGGCAGTCATGTTAGCCTCACATCAGTTCTGCAAAGCAAACTTCATATCCTTGCGCCTGCCGGCATTCTGTTTTTTAGCTTTAATTTTGAAAAGCTTTAACACTTACAGAAGAATTACAAAGCGTTTTTCTGTCCCTTTTATCTGGAGATCCCATTTAGCTTTCTCCAGTCAGCCCCATGAGTCCATTAGAAAAAAGGAATTGGACCTTGGTCATACCTTACATACCTCCACTTTCATCGGGAATGGGTCCTCAGGCTTCCCTTGACTTTTACAACCTCGAGGATTACAAGTCAGCTGTTTGGTAGAAGTCTCTCTGTTGGGGCCTGTGCAGTGTGTCTTGGAGGTGAGACCCAGGTGTGGCGTTTTGGATGAGAATGCACACATCGCAGAAGCGACACATAATGCTCACTTGTCCCCTCACCAGTAGGGTAGCTGTGGTCCTCTATCCGGTGCTGGCTGCTAGGTTTCGCCACTGCGCAGTTCCTTTCCCCTTTGTGCTGGATGGTTTCTGAGAGAGACTCCGGGACCTCCAGTACCTCATCGCACTCCTGCCCTCCGGTGCTTGTGCCCAGTCCTGTCTTCTGAGTGACATTTCCCGCTGACGACTGCCCCATAGGATTCTCTTCCTTTTTTTTTTTTTTTTTTTTCCCTTGAGACAGAGTCTCACTCTGTTGCCCAGGCCGGAGTGCAACGGCACAATCTCATTTCACTGCACCCTCCCCTTCCTGGGTTATCAAGCAATTCTCGTGCCTCAGCTTCCCAAGTAGCTGGGATTACAGGCGTGCACCACCTGTGGGATTTTCTGAGCACCGTCCCTTCTGTGTCGATTAGTGGTGTTCACTGGAAGGAGGAGCTTGCCCTTCTCCCCACGTTTATTTCTTGATTGATTGTGTCAGCATGGGTGGAAAAGCTCCTGTCAGCATCATTGGGTGACCATCTGTGGTTACCTGTTTTGATTTAATGTTCAGATTGTCCCAGATTCAGCCAGTGGAAGCCTTGTCAGACAGGTCCCCATTGTTCTTTTGAGCATTTCCTTTGCTTTGTCACAAGAGCCTCTGGCCCAGCTTCTTTTGTCATTGCAGCCCTGGAATCTGCATTCTCAGGGGGGCGCTGCTTTCTTCACGGAGCATGGTCTTTAGAAACTGAGGTCTGAATGTTCGACGTGCGCTGCAGTCTCACTGCCTCAGGTGTAGCCCTGCTCCCGGCCCTCCGCGGGCAGAGCTGAAGATGAGTGGCATTCACTGGAATGTCCTCCATGCATTGGGCATCCCTCCTTGCCCTCCGCATGGCTGGACTTCCTCCCCACCCTGCAGCAGCACTGTCCATGCTCGGACCCCAGCTCCAGCCAGGCCGCCATCTCAACGTCTGATGCACGTGGTTTTGTTGCGATCCCTTCTCAGGTTAAATCAGGGCTCCCTGAGGGGCAAGCAGGCTTCCTGCAGACATCAGTTGGGGCTCTCTGAGGCAGGCGAAAGCACCCTTAGAGAGGGCACCTGCCGGCTTCCCAGGAGGGCAAAGGCTGCCGGCAGGAGGGGGAACCTCCTGGAGTGATGCGTGTCCCTCAGAGACTGGTGCGGCATCCTCTCCAGGCCCACACCCTTTGGGTATGCGGCAGATGTCGGGCTCTGGCTGTGATTCAGCAACTTGTGTTGCAACCCGTGTTGCAGAAGAGAGTTTCTGGAAGGAATGAGAAAAGACCACCCTTGTTTTCATGGAGCAGGGCCTGTGACAGGGCCCTCCAGAGTTTGGCTGCCCCTGGAGCACGCTTGCCTGTCTGCAGCTCTGGAGAGGGCCAGGCTCCAGGCCCAGCACTAGTGGCAGGTCGGTGGCAGGGATTATCCAAGGCTCCAGCTTCCTCCTGGCAGTCTGGGCCAGCCCCCAGGCTCCCCTCAGCATTAGCTTGGGCTCTGCGTGGAGCAGAGCTTGGAAGGGCAGTCAAGTCTGTGGCCAAAACATCAGCGTCGAGAGCCAGCTTGAAGAGCTTGCTAAAAATTACCTGAATTGTGAATTTGACCTTTTAAAACCTATCTAAATTGCCAGTCTTCTCCCGCATAGCTCCGTGCTTTGGAAATGTAATTGATTGTTTCCCTCGGAGAAGGAGCATCTGGCAGCTCACCCCCGCATCCTGCAGGATCTGGCTCTCCTGAATTTGTTTTTTATGACCAGTCTATTACCGGAGAGGCACCAACTCTGCTAACACAGGCTGCCGGACGCCCTGGGGCTTAACTCCCTCATACAACCATTATAGTAAGAAGGGTCGCTGCAGTCCTCTTGCTGCCCAGGCACAGCGGCACATCTGGGGCACAGCAAGAGAGGACCCTTCCTTGGCCTGCTAGATCTTGATTTGATTTTGAGTCTGAAAATTTGGGTTGACAGGGCGTTTTGGGTTTTGTCATCATTTTAGTATACATTTGAATGGTTTTTAGCACATCTGCAGAGTTGTGTGACCATCACGTAATTAATTTTAGAACATTTCCATCATACCAAAAAGAAACCACATCCCCGCCAGTTGCTGCCTGCCCCAGCCCCCTCCCTGAGCCCTGGTAACCGCTCAGCTGCTTTCTGCCTAGTCTGGGCATTTCACAAAAATGGAATCAGATAGCATGTGACCTTTGGGGGTGTCTTTGCATTGTCTTTCCTTTAATTTCTTCCAACAATGTTTTTGTTTTGTTTGATACAAGGCCTTGCTCTGTCACCCAGGCTGGAGTGCAGTGGTACAGTCAAAGCTCACTGCAACCTCAAACTCCCTGGCTCAAGTGATCTTCCCACCTCAACCTCCTAAGTAGCTGGGACTACAGGCATGCACCACCACACCTGGCTAACTTTTTAATATTTTGTAGAGTTGGGGTCTTGCTCTGTTGCCCAGGGGGATCTCAAACTCTTGGGCTCAGGCAGTCCCCCTGCCTCAGCCTCCCAGAGCACTGGGATTACAGGCCTGAGCCGCTGCACCTGGTGCTAACAGTGTTTTATACTTTCAGTTGTGAAATGTATTCCCAAATATTTTATTCCTTTTGGTGCTATTGTAAATGGAATTATTTTCTTAATTTTGCTTTTGGCTTGTTCACTGCTAGTGTTAGAAACACAGTTGATTTTTGTATATTGATCTTGTGTCCTGTGGCCTGACAAGGGGTAGAGCTTAGCAGTTACGCAGGGCCACCTCCAGGAGCCATAATGCCACAGTCTCTGTGCCTTGCCCAGGAACAGACTTGCCTACCTGAGTCACAGGCCTTTTATGACAATCCTTCCTGTTGTGGATCTGCTTAGACCACTGTCCCCACTCCCCATATGGGCACAGTGGCCAAGACACAGATGAGGGTGTCCTTGTGGACGGTGGCTGAGCGAGGTCAGGCACTCCAACCATCCCGGGAGCCCCTGAGTGTTCACCTTTCCCCTCTAGCTTTGTGAATTTGTCAGGCCAGACTCTGGCCTGGGGGAGCTGGCCTCTTCCGCGGTGGCCAGGAATGCTCCCTCATTGAGACAGGGAAGCTCTGCAGGCACATCTGGAAAGGGAGGCAGGCTCACCATCTGCCACCTTTGACCTTTTCATTACAAAAAACCTGTCACACTTCCCAGACATCTGTAGTGGTGCCGAGGTTCTTCCCAGCCACAGATGTATCCTCTGACGGACAAGCCTTCTAGCAAAGGGAAGCAGGGGCTGGGCACCTGAGTTCTGTGGCTCCCTGACAATCTCAGGGCCAGGTTCAGGGTCGCTGTGCAGATCAGCTCCTGAGCCCACAGCAGATTGCAGCTGGGAGGGTGGCTGATGCCCCACCCGCCCCCATGGTCAGCAGCTGGCCCTAAGAGCAGTCATTCCTTCCACCCCTTCCTCTCCCCTCCTCCAGGCGCCTTCCAGGCCTGCTGGTCAGGCGGGACTTCTGTTGTAAATTGGAGATGTTTTCCCGGGTTCTCCAGGCCCGAGGTCACTGAAACCAAGACCATAGTCCTCTCCTGCCCTTGCCCCCTAGGTCCAGCCCCCACCCAGACAGCCTACTGTTGATATTTTATCTTGCTTTTAGAGGAAAGGAGCAGTGGCTTCCGTTTGAAGCCACCAACGCTGATCCACGGCCAGGCCCCCAGCGCAGGTAGGTCACCTACCTCCCTGAGGCAGGGGGGTAGCTTTCTGATGCTCTTCAGACCTCTGCTCAGCCACACTAGGACACTGCGGGCTCAGCCTACTTTCTAGAAAGGTCGTTTGTGACCTGACCCATAAGCCCTGGAAAGCTCCTTTAAAGAGAGGCTATCTGAGCAGGGAGGTTGGGACCCCTGACCGTGAGCCCTGTGTGCTTAAAAGAGTGGGCGCTGGCAGCACGGGAGCAGGCTAGGCTTGGGGTGCATTGGACGGGCTCCATGCCCAGCAGTAGCGCACTTGGTTCAGCCTGTCCGTGCTGAGTGTTCTGGCCCCCGCATACCACGGTGTTCACAGCTAGCAGGCCGGCTGCGTTCCAACGGTGCACTGTTAGTGAGGCTGCCGGGGATGCTGCATAGGGCAGACACGTTCCCTTGTGGTCCTTGTCCCATCTGTGTTTGGCAAAGGGACTTCCTCAGCATGGCTGTTTTTGAAAAACAGGTGCAAAACGTGCCTGTACATGACCCCACACCGAGTCCTGAGCCTCTGGGGAGCCGCCTGTGAATTCACTGCTCTCCTCTCACTGTCCCCACTTGACTGTTGAGGCCAGCTCTCAGAGAACAGGTGTCCCTCGACACCCCCCGTCACGTTACTGTGCTAACTGGATTAATTCACAGCCATGATCGGTTACTGGGAATTTCACTTAATCACATATGAAAATAACAATGGCCAGATCTGCCTGTCAGGTTATAAAAAAAGAACAAAACCTCAACTTTTTTTTTTTTTTTTTTTTTAAGTGCTTCCCTACAAAGTCTAGCCTGTTTGGAATAGGTTGCCAGGGATCAGTCTCTGAAGTGCCTGGGAGTAGTCAGGGGTCCAGGGGCACTGGGAAGGCTACTTTCTGTTCCCAGGTCTGCCAAGCCAGAAGCCCAAGGAACAGCAGCGGAGCGTGCTTCGCCCGGCAGTGTTACAAGCCCCACAGCCAAAGGCGCTGTCCCAGACGGGTAAGAAACGGCAGCCCTGGCACCCAGGCTCAGACGGCAGGGTAGAGCGTTCCTAAAGTCGCACCTGGGACAGTGGTGTCTCGACAGAGGTGACTGCTGAATGCACCAGAAATACAAAGAGATCAGGGAAGATGATCCTTTAAATCACCCCCCAGCTGCCTCCAGCCCCAAGCCTCCTGAGCCCTGACAATGGAGGAGTGAGAGGCGGTTCCACAGCTTCCTCACAGCTCTCGGCTGAGTGCAACTGTGTGGGTGAAATGTGCTTTGTTCATTCACTGCCTTCATAAAAGCAGGCCATCTCCTGGGAATGAGATTATCCCTGTGTGTTTGCGGATAGAACTTCAGCCTCAGTCTTCACGGGTTCTCTTTAAAAACTTGCAAGGTCATCTTTTTTCTTAATTTCTTTTAATTTTTTTTAGAGATGGGGTCTTGCTTTGTCATCCAGGCTAGAGTGCAGTGGTGCAGTCATAGCTCACTGCAGCCTCAAGCTCCTGGCCTCAAGTGATCCTCTCACCTCTCAGCCTCCCAAGTAGCTGGGACAAGTGTGCACCACCACACCCAGCTCATTTGTTTTATCTTATTTTATTTTAGAAATGGGGACTTGCTGTGTTGCCTAGGCTGGTCTGAAACTCCTGGTCCCAAGCAGTCTTCCCACGTCAGCCTCCCAAAGCCCTGGGACCACAGGCATAAGCCACTGTGCCCAGCAGGTTTCTCTTCTTTGTTTCTCTTGTTTTTTAATCCAAGAATTTTGGCTCTTTGTAGAGATACCAGGTCCTTCCTTAAAAAGGACATGTGTGCTGTGGGCTTCACCGTGGGAGGGCTCTGGACTGGACGGGGCTCGGCCCCTCAGCTACATGAGTAGGGGTGGGAGGGCCGCCAAGTACCTGTGATTCCCCACTCTCCTTCCCTCCCGCAGTCCCCAGCAGTGGCACCAATGGGGTCAGCCTCCCAGCCGACTGCACGGGGGCAGTGCCAGCAGCATCCCCTGACAATCCTGCACAGAGAAGTCCTTCCGAAGCTGCCGATGAGGTGCGTGCACTTGAGGTCAGTGGGTCCTGGGTCAGGGGAACACTGCGTTCTGGGCCCCTTGGGAGCAGGAAGACCACCTTCCCAGCACTCTGTGGTGTCCGGGGGCTGTCTGTCACCTGTTCCCAGCAGTTTCCACCTGGGCCTGTTGTAGGCTGTCTGGATTTGCTCAGTGGGGTCCGTGAATCACAGTACCTGACAAACCAAATAACTAAATTCCCAAGGGTGGTTTTGCTGGGTCAGTCGGAAGAAGAGGGCCCCCCAGGCAAGTTCTGCTGGAAGGGCCTGTTGCCCCAGGCTGACCGCCACATGTCTCGAGGGAGTGATTCTTGAGGCGGGACCAGAACCACTGCACTCTGGGGAGTCACTAGGGCCCGAGGAACGGCTGTCGCTGGTGGATATCTTGCAACGTTTTACATGAGGAACGTCTCCCCTCTCTGCGTCCACACCCAGACCACCTCTCAGACTCCTATATGTGTGGTTCCAGTTGATAAATTTGCCTTGGAAGTCATCTCAGAAATGGTTCATTTAGGTCGGGCACAGTGGCTCACTCCTGCAATCGCAGCAGCTTGGGAAGCCGAGGCAGGTGGATTGCTTGAGGCCAGGAGTTCAAAACCAGCCTGGGCAACATAGCAAGACCCTGTCTCTACAAAAAATACACAAATTAGCCAGGCCTGATAGTATATACCTGTAGTCCCAGCTACTCTGGAGGCTGAGGCTGGAGGATTGCTTGAGCCCAGGAGGTGGAGGCTACAATGAGCCAAGGTCACGCCATGGCACTCCAGCCTAGGCGACAGAGCCAGACCCTGCCTCAAAAAAAAAAGAGTTCCATTTAAGTGAAGATATGGATTGGATTATATGGGCCAAAAGCTGTGTGTTTCAAACCCACTGTGAAATAAGGGCCATTGATGAACTGCCTCCTTTGAAGTTGGCAGAGATGGATTTGAAGTCAGAGTTAGGGTAACACCACATGGTGTCTTCTGTGTAAAAGCCAGATTGGATCTGTGTGTTTATTTTCCACTCTATCCGTGTCCATGGCCTGCGGCGTTACCCTCCCCCTCCATCTCCGGTAGATGTTCTGGCTCAAAGGGTGAAAATGGCTGTCCACAATTAAATTTTAAAACATCCCCAGGCCCTCCTTCAAACCTGTTTGCTGAATTAGAAGTACAGTAGTGATCACTTCCACCACATCCTATGGCTCGGAAGCTTTGACCGCTGGGGTCTCTCAAGCAGATCAGGTGTACAGTTCTGAGTTGGAGAAGGACCTAGAAGTGACCCAGCCCGTCCTGCCCTCTCCCAGTGTCCTCGCTCGTCCCCAACAGTGAGCACACAGGCTGACCTGGTGGCACCAGCTACCGAGAGCTTGCCCCTCGCTGGAGAGGCCTCAATCTGTCCCTCTTCCTGCCTGTCCGAGCCCCTCCTTAGCTGTGCACACAGTTGGTTCCTAATCATTGAGCCCAGAAGTCATGATTTGCTGTCTTCCCTCCAGCAGGCTGGGCAGCCCCAGTCGCTGAAGTTAATCCTGGAACCCCATGGTCCACTGGCTGCCATTCCTAGCTCCTGCGTCTGGCTCCAAAGCCACTGCTCCATGTGGGTCTGTGGTGGAGCCACGTGGGCCACACCCATGATGCCCTCTGACAACACCCAGTGCTGTTGAGATTCGCAGGGCTCGGCTTGTGTGTCCTTCTGTGGCCCTGCAGCAGGAGCCTGGGCTTTTCCAAGCCACCCAGAGACATGGCACACACTGCCCATCAGGACCATGAGCTAAGTGAGGCATCTCCTGTAAGTGGGGCTTGGATGTCGGGAGCAACCCATGGGGGAACTTCCAGTACTGTCTTTGGGAAAATGGGGAAGAGGCTCTCCCACCCCCACCCCCACCCCCCCCTACACACACACAGAGTCTGAGACCAGTTACAGGCCTCCGGATTTGATGATCAGTTTAAGTGAATCCTCTAAGCAGGCCCCTCCAGGACACAGACATACGCTGTGGTCGGAAACATTTTGCTGTTTGCCTGCCATCTCAGGTGACTCTGTGGGCTTTGCCCACCTGGGATGAGCACCAGTCAGTGTGAGCAGGGGTCACACAGCGCACAAAGCCAAGAGCCAGGGACGTGTCCCCACGGTCTGCAGGCGGCCCCAGTGGGGCTGGGGATTAGCCCATCCTCTGAGGACTCTCAGGTCGCCAAACACGGTGTGTGTTTAATTTTAAAAAGCCACGTTCACTCTTGCACAGGCACAAGGATACAGCGTGGAGTCAGCAACAGCAGAGTTTCTAGGGAGCACCATAGAGAAACATTTAAACTCTTCACTTTCTTCACAGTTGGACCCTCAGCTCTGTGATCCGCTGATTCTGGGCCTCGCATTGTAACTCCGGGCTTCCCTGCCCACTGGACACGCTGAGCTGGTCAGAAGCTGCCTGCAGCCTTTCTTGCCTCCAAGTTCACGGTTGTCAGGTCCCTTCACAGCACTTCCCAGGAAAACGCTCCCTGCCTCACGTTCATGTCCATTGTACACATGCCCAGAGACCGCAGAGATCTGCCAAAAGCCTTTTAAAATTTCTTTTCAAATTTCTACAACACCTTTTTGATCATGTGGTACAAGAAAGAAATATACAAGTTACTAGCAACTCCATATTCCATTATTTCAAGATAAATGCATTTGGTCTTAGGATATTTAGTTACAGAAGTCATGCCTGCATGTTGAAAATATTTACACAATTTGGAAATCCTAGAATGTAACAAGTGGAAAGCCACGATCCAGCTAAGAGATCCAGCTAAGAGGCCCCCCAGCAACCCCTGTTAGTAGTTTGAATTCTCTCTCCCGGCCTGTTTTCCTGGGCATTCCTCAACACACATGCGCACACACTTGGGACTGGGTTTGCTTTAATAGAAATGGAATCACACTTCCATGTCCCACAAGCTGCTCTTCTCTGATCCATGTGTTGTGGGTATATCAGAGGCCTGCCTACCTCTTGGCGGTAACAGCTGTGCTGTACTTTTACTTCCCGTCATAGCCCAAATTATTTAGTTCCCCAGCTAATGATGAGCATCCATGGTATTTTCTGTCCTCTGCGGGCACTAAGGGCTCTGCAGGGCACAGGCGTTTCTTTTTGTTTGTTTGGAGACAGGTTCTTGCTCTGTCACCCGGGCTGGAGTACAGTGGTACAATCTCAGCTCCCTGCAACTCCTAGGCTCAAGCGGTCCTCCTGTCTCAGCCTCCTGAGTAGCTGGGACTGCAGGCACCTGCAGAGGAGACGTGTGGAGTCTGTGATCTGGTGTGGGATTGCTGGGCTTCCGTCTGGGCTAAGTATGGCACTGGTTTTGATGACTGTTTTGTTTTCATTTTTGATAGGAGAAAGAGCCCCAGAAAAATGAGTCCAGCAATGCCTCTGAAGAGGAAGCCTGTGAGAAAAAAGACCCCGCCACACAACAAGCCTTTGTATTTGGGCAGAACTTGAGGGACAGAGTTAAGGTATGTGAGCTGTTGAACAAGTGTGTTGACTTTTTTAGGCCTTCCCCAGGTTAAACAGAGGAAAGTCAGTAGATTTGCCTTTTAACGGGGGAGGGGAGCATGGAACAAAGAAGGTATTAGCGAGGCAACCCTGTGGCTCACAGCACAGTCAGCTGCTGGTGTGCGTGTGCCGATGTGGGGTGGCGTGGTCAGCGGCTGGTGTGCGTGTGCCGATGTGGGGTGGCGTGGCCAGCGGCTGGTGTGCGTGTGCCGATGGGGGGTGGCGTGGCCAGCGGCTGGTGTGCATGTGCCGATGTGGGATGGTGTGGTCAGCTGCTGGTGTGGGGTGATGTGGTCAGCTGCCTCCACTCACCCAATGCTTCTGACATCTGACAACCACAGATATCCCCAGACATTGCCAGTATTCCCTGTGGAGCAGAATTGCCCCCATTAACAACCGTCACCTTATTTTGTTTTTTTTTTAAGTGAGGCAGGATGGGGTGACCACACTGTCTTCCTGAAAGGAAGCAAAGTGTCTGCCACCTCCTGGCTGCCCTCCAGGCATGTGGGCCTAGGCCAGAGATTGTAGGGTGGGGAGAGGCTGACAATGGTCGGGAACAGTGACCCTGGACCCCGATCACATCCCAGTGATCCGGGATGACCATGGCCAGCCAGCACCACCTTTCCCAGCCACAGACATGGAATGTTCTGTGGGCTCTCTAGCAGCTCCACTGGCAAGAAGCTTCTTTCAAAGCCTGAGAGGCGGTATCAATGGCTATATCTAGAGACATTTGTGCTTGTCACAAGTGGGAGGTGCTCCTGGAGGACAGGGATGCCACTTCTCCCCTTGCAGTGCCCAGGACAGCCACACCACAAGGAATAATCTGGGCCCAATGTCAGTTTGTCAGTAGTGTCAGCGTGGAGGACCCTGAAATAAATGAAAACCTCTCTAGTATGCAGAAAGCACCGGCTCATGTTTTCTGCTTTCCCTCTGTGGCTTACTGCCCAGCAGAGGCCCAAGTCGAGAAGCATGGAAAGTTGATGTTGCTGTTGCCATGGCTTTAAGCCAAAAGAGAGTTCCTCAGTGGCTTCTCCCTCCAAGGAGGAAGGGAGGGCAAGAGGGCTTGGCCCATGGAGCTCAGGCCCCGTGGAGTCTCTGCCTGGAGACTGGAGCAACAGCTGCTTGGAAATTGGTGGGGTCCACTTCTTACGGAAGTCAGAGACTTGTGTGGGCTTTTCAGTCTCAGTCAAATCCCAGCCTCTCCTTCCAGGGCAAATGTATGTGAGCCATAGATTCTATTTTTGGAAATGGAGTCTTGCTGTGTCGCCCAGGCTGGAATGCAGTGGCATGATCTCTGCTCACTGCAACTTCCACCCCCTAGGTTCAAGTGATTGTCCTCGCTCAGCCTCCCGAGTAGCTGGGATTACAGGCACCCATTACTACACCCAGCTAATTTTTTGCATTTTTAGTAGAGACAGGCTTTCTCCATGTTAGCCAGGCTGGTCTTGAATTCCTGACCTCCCGCCTCAGCCTTCCAAAGTTCTGGGATTACAGGCGTGAGCCACTGTGCCTGGCCAGAGCCGTGGTTTCTTAACCCTCTGAGCCTCTGCTTCCTTGTTGGTCAAAGAGGGTCTCTTAACATCCCTTTCCTTGGCCTTGGGAGGATTAAAGCAGACCATGCATTTGACAGACTCAGCAAAGCGGCTGACCGGGAAAAGTCCCTCAAGAAACGCTGCTTCTATTGTGTTCATAGTAAACCCCCAAATCCCAGCTCTGAAATGCTCTGTGTTCTTGGTGCAGAAGCATTGACGGAGAGGCCCTCTTAGGTGTGGTTTTATAACAAGGTAGAAAAGACTCCTTGAAGCTTTGGGAGCTCTCTTCCATCTTAACTGTTTAAAAATTTTTTTTTGAGATGGAGTTTCGCTCTTGTTGCCCAGGCTGGAGTGCAATGGTGCAATCTTGGCTCACTGCGATCTCCGCCTCCCGGGTTCAAGTGATTCTCCTTTCGTAGCCTCCTGAGTAGCTGGGATTACAGGCATGAGCCACCATGCCTGGCTAATTTTTGTATTTTTAGTAGAGATGGAGTTTTTCCATGTTGATCAGGCTGGTCTCAAACTCCCAACCTCAGGTGATTTGCCCACCTCAGCCTCCCAAAGTGCTGAGATTACAGGCATGAGCCACCGTGCTGGTCTCTTCTATCTTAACTCTTAGAACAAAAAGTGGTGGAGTTGATTAGAGCCCTGCCCCCCAGCACATGTATGCGTGCACACACAGGTGGGTACAGGAGAGGGTTCATGTCTCCGAGCAGCACCGTGCAGCTCAGGGCCACTGCAGACGCTGAGCCATGGAGCTCCAGGCCCCCGCCCCTCCCTGAGTACTCAGCATTCCATCTCATTCCCAGCTGATCAATGAGAGTGCGGACGAAGCCGACATGGAGAATGCTGGACACCCCAGCGCAGACACGCCAACCGCGACAAACTATTTCCTTCAATATATCAGTTCCAGGTGTGTGTCTTGGGCCCCATGGCCAGCCTGGTGTGGGGACGCAGGCGGCCACAAGGGTCTCCACCCCAGAGGGGTCTGTGGGCCCAGTACCTGACTCAGGCCTGGTACCCAGTTGCCCTCGGGCCCCTCTCTCTTATTTGCCACTCTGGGCACAACTGTGGTTAGGCCAGAGGCGGGCCTTGTCCTGGGATTCACTGGACGCCTGAAACAGGACCAGAGTTCTGTGGGGTTGTCCAGGGGCCCATGGAGGATACAGCCCAGCTCTTGGGGTGCCCTCTGTCATGCAGACCTCATGCCCAGAATGGAATAGAGCCAGAGGCAACTCAGGTGCCTCCTTACCCTGGGTTTGGGCACCTGGGGCAAAGACTTCAGCATGACCTTGATTGACATGGCTGGGGGTGATGCTACCCACAGCCTGGCTGCCTCTCCAGGTGTCTCAGAAGACAGTGTGTCCTGCCTGGGAGATGGACGGAAAGAGCAGGTGGGGGTGGCTTCCCTCATGCTGCGGGGCCCCTCCATCAGGGTGAGCTAAGGGTTCATGTTTCCAGTGGCACGGGGAGGCATGTGGCTTTCTTCGTCTGACATGCCAGCCCGTCTGCAGTGGGCGACGCCCCTCCGCTGTGCCCTCTGCGCCAGTGTGTGCACATGTGTGCTCCATGGGTGCCCACACATTTGCCTGGCCACATTCCCACATGACAGCCCCCCACTTACTGCACGTCTTCTTTTCAGTTTAGAGAACTCAACCAATAATGCCGACGCCTCCAGCAACAAATTCGTATTTGGCCAGAATATGAGTGAGCGAGTTTTGGTGAGTGGCTGTGTTGGGACTGTTCTTGGGGACCAGAGGTTCTCGGCACCAGCCCCAGGTTGAGGGGACATGAAGAGTGGGGCTACCTCATTGTCCTGTGTGAGATAAGAATGCCCTCAGTAGCAAGTGAGAGAGAGAAGACCCCACTCAGATTCGATGTGAAGACTGGCCAGGGCCATTGGCTGCCCAGGAGCCAGCATTCGCTCCTCTTGGCTCCTCCCTGCTGACCTGGGCTAGCTTCTTCCCAAGATGGGCTTCCATGGAGGCTGCAGGGCCCTGCTGGCAGTTGGGGTCCACGCTTCCTCTCCACCAGGCGAGCTGACAAAAGTCCTGTGGGACGGGGCCAGCTGTGCCAGTGGACAGGGCTGCTGGCCTCCCTGCTCCTGAGAACATAACCTCAGCCAAGGCCTTGGGTACACGAAAGGCCCGTTTCCGTTCCCAAGAGCCCAGCCAGCCTGGGAGAGGGTTCTAGAATGGCTTGCTTACCTGTTTACGTGTGTTCATTTTTCTTCTCAGTTGCACCCAGCTCCTCTGTGACTGTGTGCCGGCCTGCCCTGAGCTGCCTGGTCGCTCCAGCTCGGTCTCGGGTCTGCGCTTCCTTCATGGCCACGCTGCCCTTTTTCTATTTCATGAAATACGTGAAAGTCTTGCCTCACCCAGACCGAGTGACCAGTGTGGCCTGAGGGGACTGTCAGCTGGTGGCACTCACCTCTTGTTGACACCTGAGGGGCCACATACAGAGCTCCTAGGCAGTTCAGGCTGTCACCGGGAGCGGGCAGGAGTGCTGGGGGCAGCATGATGTCGGGACCAGGCAGAGAGGTGCTCAGAGCTGCCCCTGACGGACCACACAGCGCCTCTTCCTCACACGCCTTTGTGTCCTTGCAGAGCTTTCCAAAATTAAATGAGGTCAGTTCAGATGCCAACAGGGAAAATGCAGCTGCCGAGTCGGGGTCCGAGTCCTCGTCCCAAGAGGCCACCCCCGAGAAGGGTATGTTACCATGCCACCGCTGCATGGGGCTTATGGTGGGTCATCATGGGGGATGATGAGGGGACACTGGGTCCATCCACACCCCCAGCCAGGAGGGATAAGGGGCCCAACTCCTGCAGCGGCAACAACCACACGCGAACCAGCTGCTAAGCGGGGGCATGACCTCCCGGGCCCTGCCTTGCAGTGAGCAGAGAGAGGGGTTTGTGATCAAGAACTCGAGGGCCCATGTTGTCGCCTTGCAGCCGTGGGGAGGGGAGGGAGCCGGAGGCAGCTGGCATGGAGGAGTCCCTCACTGTCCCCCTGTCCTCTGCTCAGCGGGAACACAGGAGTCTGGGGCCACACTTGGTGGCCCCCAGACGGTCTCCCGGAAGCTTCTAAGGCCCTATTCCCTGGCTGTGTCTAGGGTCCACTCGGGTGGCTGGGTCAGGCCTGCCAGGGGCAGCTGATGTCCTTGAGACCAGAACCAGCCCTCTCATCTCCTGTGAGCTTACGCTCTCCCCTCGCCAAATAATCAGTCAGTCTCGTTTAGCCAATAATTTTTCAGAGTCCCTGGCCGAGTCGGCAGCCGCCTACACCAAGGCAACGGCGCGGAAGTGTCTGTTGGAAAAAGTGGAAGTCATCACCGGGGAGGAGGCGGAGAGCAACGTGTTACAGGTGAGGGGCTGGCCCCTCCTTGGTGGCCCTGGGTCCTCATGCACCTGGGGGTCCAACCCCAAGGGTTGGGCCAATATCCTTCGAGCACACAGCTCCCCCTGAGGTGACAGGGGCCACTGGCCCCACGCTCTGTGGAGAGCCTAGGCTTAGGACGCTTCTTGCATGGCTTTGGTTTCAGAGGAGGAGGATCTATTTGAGACATTCTGTGTTTTGGTTTTTTAAATTTTTTTTGAGACAGGGTCTTACTCTGTTGCCCAGGCTGGAGTGCAATGGCGTGATCTCAGCTCACCACAACCTTTGCTTCCCGGGGTCAAGGGATTCCCATGCCTCAGCCTTCTGAATAGCTGGGATTACATGTGTGTACCACCACGCCAGGCTGATTTTTTAATTTTTAGTAGAGACGGTTTCACCATGTTGGCCAGGTTGGTCTCAAACTCCTGACCTCATGTGATCCTCCTGCCTTGGCCTCCCAAAGTGCTGGGATTACAGCATTAGCCACTGCACCTGGGCAGAGACAGTCTTGATGCTTCAGGGAATGACAGAGACTGTCACAACAAACATCTTTTTTCACCCAGGCCTGGCAACTGTAATTATTTGTCACCTAGCATCCTGTGGTGTCTTCGTAGAGAAAAAATCAGGTGCAGCCCGAGCTTCCATCCCACTGACCCCTGTCGGCGTCCCTCCTTCCCATCCTCCCGAGGCTACACCACCCAGGTTGGGTGGCTTTGGTGGGCAGCATCCATCTGCTTCCTCTCCTTTGACACATAAGCAAGTGTCTGTGTCTGTAAACCAGGTGGCGTATTGTGGGGTTTTAAGAGCGCTGTTCTTTTTTCCCACTTATCATGTTTTAATCTGTTCATGTTGGAAGAGATTGCCTTAGGGGGATATGTGGAAAGCCATCCAGGGATATCTGCCCCGTGTTTTTTTTGTTTATATATACAAAACCACTGTATTGAAATATAATACACATGCTGTATAATCTACCCATTTAAAGCATGCATTTCCGTGGTTTCTAGTATATTCATGGATTTGGACAACTTTCACCACAATCTAATGTAGAACATTTTTGTCCGCAAAAAGAACACTGTCCCATTCCCCCAGAAAGCACTGTCCCCCTCGCGGTCACTCCTCCTCCTCCCTCAGCCTCCTGGACATTTCTTATGAATGGCGTCAACACACTATGCTGCCTTTTGTGTCTGGCTTCTCGCTGAGCCAGAGCTTTATCCACGCTGCGGCCGGGGTCGGAGCCTCATTCTTTCTGAGGACTGAGTGACAGGCTCTGTGGGGACAGGCCATGTGTGCCAGTTCCTCCCTCGTTGTGACTTGGCTGGCTTCTCATCTTTGGCTTTTGTGAATGAGGCTACTGTGCGGATCCATGTGCAATGTGTGAACATGAGCAAACGTTCATGTCTCTTGGGTAGATACCGAGGAATGGAATTGCTCGGGCATATGGTAATTCCTTGTTGAGCGTTTTGAGGAGCCGCCAGACTCTCTTCCACAGCTGTGGGCCATGCGCTCCCCACCGGCAGTGTGTGAGGGTTCCGGCTTCCCCACGTGGGTGCAGCCGTCCTAGAGTGTGTAGAGAGGCTTCTCACTTGGTAATTTCAGATACCCTTTTACACCATAAAGCCTGTTCTAGCTTGAGGGCAGGACAAAAAACTGACTAAGGTGGTCCCCAGGCCATCGGCTGGCCCGGGCAGTCCACGCAGGCTAAAGGGCAACTCGGGATGCGGCCGCAGCAGGACACCAGCTGTGTCCCTGCTCACCGGCGGCCGCTGTGTTCCAGATGCAGTGCAAGCTGTTTGTCTTCGACAAGGCCTCACAGTCCTGGGTGGAGAGAGGCCGGGGGCTGCTCAGACTCAATGACATGGCGTCCACTGACGACGGCACGCTACAGTCCCGACTAGGTGAGCTGCAGAGGGCAGGGGCTGTGGCCGGGTCCCCATGGGAAGGGTTGGGGACTATGCAGTTCCAAAGGGAATAAAGAGGGAGGTCCTGACCCTGCCCTTGTGAGTGTCAAGGGGCAGTCAGTTCCCCCATGAGAGCTGCCCCCCAAACCTCTTCCCCGCACACAGCCCTCAACAACACCTCACACACTGACTTTAGCTGCCAGCTCGTCCATGACCCTATTAGCGTCAAAAGACAAAAGTCTATGGAAGTTTTTAGACTGATTTTCTGACAGTAAAAGTGGCAGGTTTATGATAGAAAGGAAAAAGAAGTCAAACATCAAGTCTAATATTTGCGGCCATTGCAGCGGCCCACGCCTGTAATCCCAGCACTTTTGGAGGCCGAGGCAGGTGGATCACCTGACGTGAGGAGTTCAATACCAGCCTGGCTGACATTGTGGAACCCCCGTCTCTACTAAAAATACAAAAATTAGCTGGGCATGGTGACACACGTCTGTAATCCCAGCTACACAGGAGGCTGAGGCAGGAGAATTGCTTGAACCTGGGAGGCGGAGGTTGCAGTGAGCTGAGATCATGCCACTGCACTCCAGCCTGGGCAACAGATCGAAACTCCATCTCAAAAATTAAAATAAAATAATATTGTTTTATGAAAAAGTTCTATTTTAATATTCCATTGACAGTCAATAGGCTTTTCCTTATTGGTGGACATTTAGCTTGGAGTACCTGCATACACACCCACTTAGGGAAATCAGCCTGTATGTGTGCACATTTGAAATGTTGGCATGTCTTTTTTTTCTTCTAAAGGTAGTTTCACTCCATCACCCAGGCTGGAGTGCAGTGGCGTGATCGTAGCCTCAAATTCCTGGGCTCAGGTGATCCTCCCACCTCAGCCTCCTGAGTAGCTGGGACTACAGATGTACACCACATCTGGCTAATTTTTAAAATTTTTCTCTTGGGGTCTCCCTTTGTTGCCCAGGCTGGTTTTGAGCTCCTGACCTCAAACAGTCCTCCCACCCTAGCCTCCCAAAGCCCTGGAATTACAGGTGTGAGCCACTGCACCAGAACCATCCTTTTATCATAAATGTGGGTTTCAGGGCCAGCAGACGCTCAGGTGGCCCTCTTCAAGGGTGGTGTTCACGCACCTTGACTCAGAAACACTGCCCTGGTCAGTACAGACAGGGGTGTCCTTGCGGGCCCTTTTGTTCCCCATGGACGTCCTGTTTTTCCTTTTTTCTCATGGAAATGTTCAAATGTAGGTGAAAGGAGGGGGCATGGAGCCCTGAATCCCTAGGTCATCCCCTCTGCCGGGGTCATTAGCCTGTAGCCCCGTGGCAGCAGTGCCCTCCCCAGCCTCAGAGAAAGCAAAACCACCCGCATCTTTCTCCCGCTAGGCCTCTGGGGTGGGCACCTGGGCTCAGGGAGATCAGTTCGCTGGGCCAGGGCAGGGGGACAAGTTTCTGACCCTCTCCAGGCCTGGTCCAGTGGGGAGAGGTGGCCGGCAGGAAGGTTGGGGCTTAGCTGAGTCCACAGGATGGGCCCAGGCCAGGGTGGTGTCACATCCTCTAGAGAGGCAAGGCCGTGCCATTGCTCTCTGTAATCTGCTCTCCTGGGTCTTCCTGTGCCCTCTCCGTGGAAACACTAAGCTGCAGTCCTACTCTGCCTCTCCTGAGGAAATCAGAGGGTAGAGCTGGTCCACTCGAGGGAGGCCATTCGGGAGGGCACGGACTCCACGGAGGCTGATGTCACATACACGCAGGAAGCACACACACCTCGAGTGGCAGCCCCTGCCTCCCACAGCCCACCCCGTGCTCCTGTCTAAGCACTCCCCCCAGGGTACTGCCATCCTGTGCCTGCCTGTATAGGTCAAATACAGCCTCACAAGCTGCGTGTGGCCTGTGGCCCCTGATTGGCAGCACCAGCCCGTATGGCCACCCACAGCTGCGGCCTTCAGTGGTCCAGGTTTGAGGAGGAGGAGCCCCAACCCGGGAGCAGTGTGCCAGGGCTGGCCTCAGGGAGGGTCCTGCTCTGTGGGCCGGTCCTGGGAGGATCATGGGCTTTTGCCTGGTGATGTCGCTTTCCTTCTGGATTGCACTGGCTCTAGGAGCTGGTTGTTTGGGAGGTGGCTGGGCCGGGGGCCAAGGCTGAGTGGCCTTGTTGGTTGCAGTGATGCGGACCCAGGGGAGCCTGCGACTGATCCTCAACACCAAGCTGTGGGCCCAGATGCAGATCGACAAGGCCAGCGAGAAGAGCATCCGCATCACAGCCATGGACACCGAGGACCAGGGCGTGAAGGTCTTCCTGATCTCGGTGAGCCGGCCACACGGTGCATCCAGAACCCCGCCTCCCACCAGCCATGCGGGGACTCTTGGGCACACAAATTAGGCAGGACGGTAGGGATGGGGACAGGCCATAGTTGCTGTCTGGGACACAAGGAGCACAATGGTATCCGCCAGTCCCAGCCTCCAGAAATAGAGGTCGTGGTCCTGTCTTCTTCCTGACCCAGAGAAGCTGCTGGGGATTGGCTGAGGGGCTGTGACTCATTCAGGGTTAACAGCCCTGTGGGGCAGTCACATCTGTCCTATGTTGTGGTATCACAGTCCAGTCCAACCCTGACCTCTGGGGCCCTCCCAGCCACCTGGGGGTGGTGGCGTCTTTTCAGGGAGAGGCTGGCAGGCCCAGAGCCAGTGGCCTCCCCACAAGGCCTTGTGGTGGTGTCACCTCTGAGCCTTGGGGCTTGGCACTTGCGTTCTGTAGAAGGCAGGAGAGGGTAGGACTGGAGTCTGAGGGGTCTCATAGACCCCTGCCTTTCCAGGCCAGCTCCAAGGACACAGGTCAGCTGTATGCAGCCCTGCACCACCGCATCCTGGCCCTGCGCAGCCGCGTGGAGCAGGAGCAGGAGGCCAAGATGCCCGCCCCGGAGCCTGGAGCAGCCCCATCCAACGAGGAGGACGACAGCGACGATGACGATGTCCTGGCTCCTTCAGGGGCCACCGCAGCCGGTGAGCCGGGCGGTCCCTGCCCTGAGGGGATAGAAGGGGCTGTCAGCCATCCTTGACCCAGTGCCGAGCTCCTGGTGGGGCTGGCAAGACCTGCGAAGTGCGGGCTCCATCCTGACTCGGGGCTGCTGCTTCCCTGCAGGTGCTGGTGACGAAGGGGACGGGCAGACAACTGGGAGCACATAGCGGCTGGGAGCCCGGCTGCACACCAGGCTGCTGCTTTGTCCGTCTGTCCGCCCGCCCGCCCGCCCGCCCCCACCCCACAGGCAGCGTCCAGGTGCGGGGCTGGGAAACACACACCCCGCTGGGCCGGCCACAGTCTGGACCCGCGCGTCCTGTTCAAAAGCAGACTCGGAAACTGCCTGAATGTGGTTTGGGACATGAGACCTCATCATATTGATGAGTGAAACAAACAAGAACATTTCCTCCCTCCCTTCCTTTGAATTGAAATGGCACATTAAGACTTGTCACAGCTTCTCACTGGGACTGGAGACCTCGTTCCTTCACCCTGCGTGTCGCCAGCCTCTGGGTCCAGCCAGAGCCCCTGGCTTTGCCGCCGCCCACACCCTTCCCTCCCTGCTGCGGCGCCCCGCTCTTGTGGGGAGCAGCTGGCCCTTGGCCTTCTGCCCCCGCCCGGGGGTCTCCGACTACAGGCCTGGGACCCCCGCCCAGCCTGGGGAGCTGCTCACACGAGTGTAGACACTGGGCCCGTTGGATGTGCTGTTAACTACTATCTTCATTTCCCGTTTCTCCCTTTCTGATTGGGGGGGTGTATATTTTACATCTTTTTTTATTTTCAAAGGCTTTGTTTTGGTTTCTTAGGTTAAGATGCTCTCGAGCGTTGAGCAGGCACAGCTCTGTCGAGGCGTCTGTCCCTCCTGTGGTTCTGGCCTCTGAGGTAGGGGGCAGGGACCCCACTTGTTTCCCACCCAGGTTCCTCCAGGCTGAGTCAGGGGGTACTGAGGAGTTGGGGCCCTGTCTGGCCTAGGCCTGAAGAGTGCCTATTTGGGAAAAGGTCACTGGACCTGGGAGGGTTCCCAGGGTCCCCTGCCCGCCCCCAATCCCTGTCTGTTACGTGGTTCAGTGTCATCAGGCACCAGGCACAAACTGCTTCCCGCTGTTGGCCATCCCTCTCCAGCCACAGGCATCACTGCCCCCAGGACTGTCCAGGGCCAGGGGCCTCTGTGAGAGCCAGAGGGGGCCCCTCGCCAGGTCTTGGTGGAGGAGCTTGGGGGCTGGTCCCAGAACAGGCGGTCTCACAAGCACGCAGCACACTGGAGTGGACGCCTGTGCCCACCTGACCCTGGAGCGTGGCCAAGAGCCAGCTGGCACCACCTACCTGGGGAGGCCGAGGAGGAGGTCCTCTGGGCACAGGGCCTCTTCAGGACCTCAGAGGAAATCTCCCAGCCCCACCATCAGAGGGTTAAGAGAAGGCCGCCTTCTGCAGCTGTGCCGCCCACTCCTCTAGGTCGCCAGAGCCCTGGCCCACAGCCCCCAGCAGGCCTGAACCAGGGAAGAACCAGAGGCCCTCCCGAGAGACCCAGTCACACGTCTCTGCTTTAAGCCTTAGCCAGCTAGTGACGAGTACAACCAGATAACGCCCATGTGTTTTGGAACATTTCTGTAAGATTGTCATATGAAATGTATTTGGGAACTACATTAAACTTTTACCTAAAACGCTGGCCTCTGCATCCCCCAGGGGCCTCTGGAAGCCCCTGACCAGGAACAGCCTCCACCTCCCTTGGTGAGAGCCTCCAGTGGCCTGGTGCCTCATGCTCCCACCCCGAGTTTCGCCAGCGCCGGGGTCCAGCAACAGCCCTGGCCTTCCACCGGCACCCACACTTGGCCCCCCACCCCTGCTGCCGGGCCCCGCCCCTGTGGGGAGCGGCCAGACTTCTGTCCCCCGCCCAGGGCTCCCAGCCTCAGGCTGCTCCAGGTAGACACTGGGCTCACTGGTATGGTCTTAACTACTGTCTTTATTCCCCATTTGCCATCTTCTGATTTGGTGCTGATGATTTACAGATTTTTTTTTCCTAAGGCTTTGTTTTGGTTTCTGAGGTTAGGATGCCCCTTGCCCCTCGCTCCACACCTGGGCAGGTCCAAACTGCCTTCCAGCACGGCCTCATCACACAGCCTTCCACCCGAGTCACCTGGCTTCCTGGGGGACCTCCAAGGGAGGGGTGAGGAGCAGCAGGCTGGGTGGGGGGAATCGGGGGGCCTCGGCAGGGGCATCGACAGGGGCTCCAAGGCCTCGTGTCAGCATGGCGTGGGTGGGGAGAGTGTTTCTCCCTGGGGCCCTGTGCCAGTGACCCCTGTTAAGACCTCTGTCCTACCTCCGCCTGGCGACCCAGCAGGGACCTGGTCTAGCCGGTCCTGCGGCCTCCATCCCCCCACCTGCCCCTCCCCGCCCTGTGGTGTGACTAACCAGGAGAGTAGGGGCCCAGGAAAGGGGGAGTCTTGGGTAGGGGTGGGGAGTGACAGGCCAGGCCAGCAGGGCTGAGCTTGAGCGGCTCACAGCTGCCAGGCACTGGTCATCATAGCCACAAACTCCTCATCCGTGTTCACGGAGGCGCTCACGCCGCTGTAGTAGTCCTGGAATTCCGCCAGCGTGACCTGGGAACAGAGGGCTGTGAGGGGGCACAGCCGGGGCTGCCTCTGAAGGGAACCCCCCGTGCAGCTACCCACCTGCCCGTCCTTCTCGGAGGAGTCGAAGTTGTCCAGGAAGCGGCGCAGCACCTCGTCCTCGGTCCACTCCCCACTGCGCACCTTTGGGTGGGCGCGGCCACTGTACACCCCTCGGAGGTCGTCCACCGTCACCACACCGTCCCCACTGCGGTCCAGCTTGGCAAACGCAGCTGTGATGACTGCCTCCCGGGCCTGGGACATGGGGGGCTGGGACAGGAGGTGGTGACTGGGGGTGGTGTGTGGCGGACCCAAAGCCCCAAGACCCTGTGCAGAGCACTGGGAATGTCCTGGCAGGTGCCTCTTAGCAGCTCTTAGGGAGGAGTCCCCTGTCTCCACATCTCAGCATCCTCTGTCACCCCACGCCCAGGGCACACGCCTTGGCTTCGAGGTGGGGCCTTACCCGCAGAGCCCGAAGGAACTCCTCCAGATCCAGTGTCCCGCTGCCGTCACGGTCCCACCTCCTGCACACGCCCTCTGCCTCCGACTGGTCCAGCACCAGCCCCAGTTTGGCCAGGCCCTGCCGGAACTCATCAGCGTCCAGGGATCTGCTCCCATCCCGGTCCAGTCGGCGGAAAAACCTGGTGGGGAGGGGACACCGTTGGAATAGTGGTCTCAGAGACGGGGGTCAGGAAGGTGAGGGTGCAGCTCACCTGGCCAGGCCCTGGATGCCCGAGGCTCCGCGGGACAGGCACTGTGCCCGGAGTTTCTCCATGGTGGCGTCCACAGTGTCCATGCTGGGTCTGGGCTCTCTGGGCAGCTGGAAGGGAAAGAGGTCAAGGTGGGGACTCCCGCAAGCCCACCCTGGCCGACTGCCCCTTGTTCAGACGCTCACCAGGCCTGCTTCAGTCCCAGAGTCCTGCCTGCCAGGCCTTGTGTTAGCTGTGTTGTGCCCGGGGAAACTGTTGCTAGTGGAAGGTGCCTCTGGAGACCAGGCGGGGCCCAGCTGCATGAATGCGCTGTGCTGGGGCGGGGCAGCCTGAGTGCTTACTCACTGCCAGCCCCACAGGGCTTGGGACACAGCCAGATCCCTGTGGCACTGCATCCCTTGCTGGCCCTGAGGAGGAGGGGCAGGCCTCTGGCCTGCAGGGACTGAAATGCCCTGGGTGGAAACAAGTCAGTGGCTGGGGAGGCTTGAGGCCCAATTCCTGTGTGACTCTGGGCAGGTCCCTTTCCCTCTCTGGGCTTCTCAGCCTGAGCCAGGGCTGACAAAATTGCGGAGGAATCAAAGTTCAAAAGGGCCCCAGGTTCCAACCAGCCACAGAGGCCTATGCCTGAAATCTCAGCACTTTGGGTGGACTAGGGGGAGGATCACCTGAGCCCAGGATTTTGGACCAGCCTGGGGAACATACAGAGACCCTGTTTCTATTATACAACAGAAAAACCCCAGGTGGCCCAGGTCCTAGGGCCCCAAGACCTCCCACCCAGGCCAGGTCCTGCAATCCACAGGGACTGAGCTGAGCCTGAGGAACACTCAGAGCACACTGCCAAGTAGCTTGTCACTGGTGGCCCGGGACTTTGACTAATTTTTTGTTGTTGGTTTTCAGGCCTGAAACGTGACTTGGTAGGCTTGCTCCTGACAAGGCGGGGAGCCAGAGGTTGTGGCCCCAAGTGGAGGAACAGCCCTGATCCCGGACATAAACCTCAAGGGACGAGGCCACCTCACTGAAAGCCTTCAACGGAGACATCGGATACACCTGCCCACTAACATGGGTGGGTTCCCCAGGACTTGCAAGGTGGGCCCTGTCTGGGGACCCACTATGGGTCCAGACCCCCGGATCATTGGAGGCTTCTCCAGGCCTGGCCTTACCTCGCCACAACACAACTGTATTATCAGAAGTTGCCTTGGCTGAGCGCGGTGGCTCATGCCTGTAATCCCAACACTTTGGGAGGCCAGGGCGGGAAGATCACTGGAGCCCAGGAGTTTGAGACCAGCCTGTGCAACATAGTGAGACCCCCATCTCTACAAAAACTACAAAAATTTGGCATGGTGGTGAGTTCCTGTAGTCCCACATACTTGGGAGGCTGAGGCAGGAGGATCACTTGAGCCGGCAGTTGGAGGCTGCAGCGAGCTATGATCGCACCACTGCACTCCAGCCTGGGTTACAGAGCGAGACTTTGCCTCTAAAAAAAATAATAAACTAAAAAAGAGACCGGGCATAGTGGCCCACGCCTGCCATCCCAGCACTTTGGGAGGCCGAGGTGGGCAGATCACCCGAGGTCAGGAGTTTGAGAATAGCTTGGCCAACATGGTGAAACCCTACCTGTACTAAAAATAAAAAAAATAGCTGGGCATGACGATGCGTGCCTGTAATCCCAGCTACTGGGGAGGCTGAGGCAGGAGAAGCACTTGAACCCTGGAGGTAGAGGTTGCAGTGAGCCAAGATCACACCACTGTACTCCAGCCTGGATGGCAAAGCGAGACTCTGTCTTAGAAAAAAAAAAAAAAAAAAAAAGAAAAAGTGGTTGCCTTTGGAGTCTGAAACCAATCTATAGGTTACAGGCCACCCAGCATCTTGACTCAGGCCACCACTAATGTCACATCAGTTTTATGAGAAACCACAGTGACATCTGGCTGCCAAAATCCTGATGGCTCACTGCAATCCAATATTATTTAAATAGAGAAATACTTTCGTGTCTGAGTGTTACAAGCAGCAGTTTTTTTCTATGTACAGAACTAATATAACCACGATTATGTACTGCTGTTTTGGCATCT